TAATATTAACATTTGGTTTATTAACTATTTTTTGATGCCAAGTTTATTCATATAAATTGAGAATAAAGCAGTTTAATTAAATTTTGAATGTAAATCTGTAAAAGGTCATGTCATGCACATTCTGACCTTCCTGTAGAGAAAGGGTTAACCTAAGCCTAGCATGATCAACTTATAATTTCATCCCTACAAATAAGTCTCAGCAGTATATCTGACACAATTATGTTATGTCTCTTTCCTTTGTATGCCTCATAACCTAATAAACAACTTTAATTCTGTAGCTTAACAGACACTATTATTAGTTGATGTAATACTTAAGAGAAACTTGGACCATATCAATTCTATAAAAACAAAGTTGGTTAATTTGACCAACCATGAAACTGGAAAATTATGCACAAGGAGATTTTCATGCGAAAAATAAATATACTTATTTTCGTCTTAGTTTCAAGTTTCATTTACACAACCTTTAGAACCTCCTAAATAAATATATTTTTTTTAGTAAAACTTTGTATTTTATCCCTATTTTTCTCTACCCTAAAACAAATTGTAAAGAAATCATTAGTGGAATGAAAAATATGAAATAAAATGAAAGCCATTTTTTCCTCTGCACAGTTTGCAATATTATTTAGAAAGTTCTAAATTCCTTATGTTAACCTTATCACATCTGTTTACTTTTAAATTTATGGATTTACTGATGTACTTTGTACCCACTACAACAATTATCCTCATATCAAAAGCAAGAACTCAAATAGACAGCTGATTAGCTATTACACACTTTGCTCAACATAGTGAAAATTTAGACATTATTTTACAGCAGTTTTGTTAAGTTATGGCTGAAAAGTTTATAAACTCTACTTTTGTGAAAAAATACGTACATAAAAAACAAGAATCTGTACTATTCACTCCATAATGAGGCCATTTGTATTGGAGTAAAAATCTTAAACGTCCTTCTCTAAGCCTTATAGGGTTTAACAAATTTGGGTATCCAAAAAAATTAATGTAGCTTTCTTCTAAGCTCCAGTTTCTCCTATTCAGAATTTTCTAACATTCAAAAAACTGTAGCAGTTTCGAACTAATTCAAAACACACACTATATGTAATACAAGCAAAAGTCTAATATTTGGACCTCCTACCTTATTAATTTTCTAAAATATCAGTGAGATTCTTTGCTTATATAACTTAACATGGCTGAAGGACATGCTTATAACAAATAGAAAGTGCATGTTCTCCTCTACATAAATCGTACAGTTTTGCTATCAAAAGCTGTTAGTGGTTTGTGTTGATCAAATTTAGTGCTCTGAACAGTAATGGAATCTTTTTAACCTACATATAGCTAATGTAGAAAGCTGTATAAATTTTATAATTTTTGGGACATTCTATTCTACTAACTTATATATTTTGTATTCTAAAATGCATATTTGCATTATGTGAAACAGAAAAATGAAGATTATTTAAGTATTTCTTTTTGAAATAATGAAATTAAACTTAGATAATATTGAGAAAAGTTAATAAAACTACATTTCATGACATATGTATTAATATACATTAATAATAAAATTGTTTGGTTAAGTTTTGTATGTAACAATGTAAAAGGTCATGACATGCATACTTTGACCTTACTGTATGGAAAGAGTTAATGTGTTTGTCACTTATTTGCAGAGACACAGCTTTACGAGGAATATTGCAAAATTGTGAACTTATAATATAAGCTTCTTCATGTGCCAAATTTACATCATCAATAAAGTTATCAAAGCTCACATGAGTGTGCAAGTGACATATATCATATAATAGATTTTTTACACAACAGTTTGTCTTTCAGACATTTTGTATGCTGAATCATTGCTAGTGTTTTACTGGCAACTTATTTATTCCAAGGTTTCTGTTCTGCAGAAATAAATAAATAAATAACACCTGTCTTTCTTTCTTCTAATTTCTATTATATGTAAAATATCTGTTATATCTCTTTTTGTGGTAAATAATTTATTTCACAAATTAGCCTATAATTGTTTGCCAAAAATTAACAAAATTTAATTTAAATTAAGTTTTAAATGACTTGTTTATTATTTCAGATAAATAGTGTAAAATTGTAAAGATCTTAATCATTATTTTATATTTATGCTGATGTTGTAATAAGTCTATTACACAAGGACTTGCTATATTGTTTTATTAAATGCTCAGTTGGTTTCTACTTCATCAGACTGTATATAATTTTTTAAATTCAATACTCTATCAAAAACAGCTAATTATGCTGAGTTTGATCACGGCTTGTGTTGTTTCAGTATTTCGATGACCTTGTAGGGGTGTTACTAAAATGATTAAACTACCTGAAATGAATAACATTATGGCAAAAGTTTAGGTGCAAGTTTCAAAACATGATTAATGATATTTCGGTATGGGGACTGACATTTTGCTGACTTTATTAGATTACAAGCTTTCAGGTTTCACACATGGTATTACATGTACAGTAGTGAAGAATAAACATATGTGAAATATTTTCAATGGGGAATTTTTATGTATTTGTGAAAAATTCACGATTTTGTACTGCAAGCTTATTAACATAATTAAGTTATTTAAATGAACCCTTGACATATCAACAAGTCAAAATTATTTTAATGGTAATATTTTGAACATTACTCTCACTTACTTTTAAATCTAGTAAAATAACTTAATTTGTAAAAATTAAGACCATGTTTTTCTGGAAAAGCAACAAAAGTTGCTTCCATGACATATCCATTCAAACTTTGCATACCTCAAGCAGCTGAGGAATGAAACAGGTATTTGTGCTATGGATTTCGGTACAATCAGACTGTTAAAAGTGGCACACTAAAACAGTTATCTTCATATATTAGATGGATTATGGAGAGCAGGCAGAGAGGAAGGGTGTTTTTTTTAGAATGGAAACAATGTAGCAGGGCTAATTTTAAAAATGCACAGTGATCATATAGAGCATGACTGAGCAGGGCAACAAGGTGAGGCTCCAAAATCGGTATAATATAACATACTCAACCTTTGCAATCAAGGCTAGCATTGATTATACCAAATACAAAAGAGAAAAAAAGATTCATAAGATAAATCTTTAATTCCCACTTAAAAAAGAGGAAGCTATGTAAGCTTAAAAATCTAGGACATTTCTAATCTTCAAGAGCTAACTGAACCTTGAATCACATCATAGTGAGAAGACTGCCTATGAGGTATTTAAGGCATTTTACGCTATATTCAAATGCCTCGACAAAGGAGAAATAAAATTTTACAAAATTCCAGATATGATACACATACATGCAATATGAAGAAAGAGTGGGCAAATCTAATGAATGCATACAAGAAGTTACACAATGATGCTTGACCAAGAAAGGAAATATATAAGTCAAGTATAGGCTAAGATGCATTCTAGGCAGTATGGAGAATAAACTGTTTACGTTATCTATAAACCAACACTCCTGCAGCAGAAAGAAAGCTATGAGAAAGGTTAATATTACTTCATTAGAAACTGGATACAACTTCCATAAAAGGAATTAGTAAGGAAATTAGAGATTGTAGGCGGAACTTTGATCTCAAGAGGACGAAAAGAAATACATGCAAATAGGCTGCCAACTTATCATCTTTGATCATAACCAATTATTGAATTAGTTTTGGTTTTAGTTTCCAGAATTACAATGAGTCAAAAAATTCGTCCAGGAGAATCATAACAGTACTAAAGAAATTTGTATTAAAAGATATGTTTTGGGGCTAAAAGTCAGTCTTTTGGCTCATTAAAAAAAATCAAACAACCAGTTGTGGATGAAGATGTTACCTGATCCTGAACCCAGAACAAAGTTGAAGATGTCCAACATTTCCCACTCAAGCTCTATGTAAGTAATGATTGCTATCTCTCTCTCTCAGTCGATTAACGTAGTTAGAACTTGAATGTATTGTGAGTTAACAAAGTTATGTCTGAGCAGATATCAATGTGTTAATTGATAACTTATTGGTAGTATTAAGTAATTTAACAGAGGTTACAGAAAATTTAATTGAAGAACATTTACCTGATCAGATTGAGTAATAGGGTAATTTAGATTTATTTTGAATTTTTCAACTTTTCATTTTACCATACAGTGTTGATTTTGCTATAGTTAGTATTAGGGTAGAGAAAATAACAGATAAAATACACAGTTTTACTGAAAAAACTTGTGATATTTCTTTAAAAGAAGTTATGCAAATAAAATATGAAACTATAAGATGAAAAGAAATATTTTCATTCTTAGCATGAAAATCACCTTGCATTCAGACTGACTTAGCAAAGGATTTGTAAATTCACAGACAAATCTTTAGTAAAAAATATTAAAGACTGTCGTTACAAGGTTGGTCAAAATGATCAAGTTCGTATACCAAGAGTTAAAAATAATCACTGATTACTGTCAACTTAAAGATAATCATCTAATGTTCATAGTAACACATCCCTAATATACATACACAAAGCTGAACCTATTCTTTAACAAGTTCCATACTTCATACAAAAGAACTGAACATCATACATACACAGTAAAGAGCTGAACTTTGTATTCTTTTTCCTAACAAGATTTATACCATTTATCAATGGAATGAATACCATACCACATACAGTGCTCATCAAAGTTTACATTTTCTAACTAGTTTCATACCAAAAAGTGAACTGGATATTACATATACACAGTATTCACCTTCAACACTGCATTACTTCTTTTAACAAGTTTTGTACAATGAAACATGGAATTGAGCTGTACATATACAAAACATGTGCCTAACCCTGCAATGTTTCTTATAACAAGTTTTTATTATGTAACAGAGAACTGGATACACTTCCACAGTACTGAACCTAACATTTCATTCATTCTCCTAAGTATCATTCCAGACATCAGAGAAATGGTTACAACACATATTTTAGTACAAATCTATATAATGAGAACCTACAATGTTATTTTATATTTTCATTAAAGTATTTACTAGATTATCAGAGATTTGAATAAAAAAGAAAGAGCTGAGCCTTACCTGGTGAACCAATATTTTGGTACGTTCCATCCCGGATACCACGTAAACTGCCATTAGTAGACTGTATGAATGGAAGAGGATTTGGATAACCTTGAGAAGTATTTATCTGGCTGGTTAAAGTAGCTGTAGCACCTGGAGTTCCATTCTACAAACACAATATTAATTCTATAAAATTGAAAATTTTTAAGCATGAATTAACACATTTTAACAAACTAGAATAAAAAAATACTTAACACTAGTTCAGCTTGTTATCTAAAACTTAAGAAACTTACTTCAAACAGAATAAATTACTTTAGGATTTTGCATGTTAAAAGTTCTAATGAATAAGCAATAAACATAAGACATCATTCACAATTTTTTTTCTTAATACTGAAGTTTTACACATACAGACTTAAGTGAATTATACATGACAATTCACTTTCTGATCATCTAGTGACTGTTACAAAGCAGTAAGACTTGTGTTAATAAAAAATCATTCTTCTTTTCAAGCTGGATTTCACCCAAATAGCTCAACTTTATCACTGCTGTGGCATTAAGGAAGAACTCCTTTATAGTTATTGTTAGTTATAGAATTGTAGCAGTAATGAAAAATTATTCTATAACAGACTAATCCTAGTTTAACTATTTTGTGTCCAGATAGTCAGAGTACACCTCGAAGATAAACTGAACCACTGTATTAGCAAAATCATAGAAAATAAACTTGTAATAGTTTCTTCACACATAAAAAAGCAAAACAAAAAACTTCACATTTGAAATTTATTCAATAAAAGTTTATTTGCTTTATATATAGAAATTACAAAAAATTGCATATTTTGATTTTGGGTCAATTTCAGTGAGATCTGAATAAAATATATAATTAGTGTATGTGAATGACATGTTTTTTTTTTCTTCTGAGAACAATATGGTATTCAGAACCTTCTATGAGGAAAATTATAATAATTTTGAACAAAATAGTACTAATTCGTCCTTGTAACTTGATTAGAAGTGTAGTGTTATCAATCTTTAGCCAATCACTGTTTCTCCATCTCGGCTGTCATGATGTAATGTAATTGTCTGTATCTCAGCTTCAAAAAGTCAAGGCAACTGGCCTAAACACATCATGAAAGCTCTCTTTCCATTATTTTGAGCTGTGAAAGCTGACATACTTTCTAGTTCAGTAGAGGTTTGTGTAGAGATCAGATAAAAGTGATAAAAGGTTAACTTGATATGTTGCATGAAGATATCTGTGAACAATATTTGCTACGGTCACTGTCCTGAATTTTTTAAAGCTTGCTTTATCATTTTATATATCATTTGAATTATGATAATGAATTTTGACAGGATATATTGTTGATGGAATGAATTCAGGTAGGCTTAGTTGAATCATCTTTCACTTGACTGTGTCAAGTTTTGTTTTGCTAACAAGGCTGGTGTGTTAGACCTTGTTTACAATAGGCCAAAAAATCACCCAAAAGAAATGTAAATATATATATATATATATATTATGAATGAATACAAAAAGGGTGTAAAATTTATCAAGAATATTAAATGAAACCTTCTGATTAACAGCTTACAAAAGAACAGGTTAATTATAAGTTTGGTATGGGGAAAAAAAGTTTTTTTACTGTGTGCAATTGACAGTAAACACAGTGAAACTAAGTGGAGTTTTTCAAATCAAAACTTAGATAAGATTTACAGTTTTATAAAATAAAAACTTTATAGGAAATTTTTATAGGATGTGGAAAGCCATAAAATCAATAAATAAAATATACAATAAAGGCATGAATTTTTAATTGTTTCTTGAAAATTTATCACAATGAAATTTTTTTGAATTTTCAAAGCTGAAAATTCATACAAATATCTTATACAAAAATATGATATTTAACTTGTAGAAGTTGCATATGTAGAAAGTTCATCTCACGTTCCCAATTATTTAACCCAGTAGGTTTGTTTATGTAATACAAAAGCACAAACCATACAAAAGACGTGTTGAATTGACTGGACAGTTATTGGTTACCTTGTACACAAAAGTTGTCATCACGCAAAGAAAACTCAATTTTATAAATATGATATTCCTATATGCAACAATAACAAAGACCTCTTTAGTTACTGCACTCTAAAACTTATAGTAGTACTTTTAGACAACAGCTCTTTTGTAGCTTGTATTGAACACTTGGTTACAATATTAAATCTTTCTACCTACTAAAAAAGGCAAAAGGCAAAAAATAATTTTTTGAAAATATGAAATAAAAAATAAGGTACTATTTTAAAATTATAATAAAGCAACTTGATAGATGTATAAGTACTAAATAAAATAAACGACAAAGAATCTAATATTACAGAAAACAAGGTATAACAAATCAGAGCTGGTACAAGCAACCAACAGAAAATAGATGAGCTTGCATACAACAAATACATAAAAGAGAATGCACCATAAAAGTTCAACACACCTTGAGGTGACCCACTTTCACTGCTCCATAATTTCCTGGGCCTGAAATACTTCCTTCAGGAACCATGTATCCTCTTCTGTCTATTACACTGGTAAATAAGTTTGAGATAGAAAATTTTGAAACCACAATACCTTTAATAAAGATTGTTATATTTAACACAGCTTATTCCTACACAAAATATTTTATAACTATTCTAATCTGCAGAGATGACGCTACGGCAATATACATAACAGAGGTATTCCTCACAAAACTTACAATAAAAAATAAGTTGACAGATGCTGCAATACACATACAAGTTTGCAATATTCTATACAGTTCTGTGGAATATACTCTTTAATGTTCTGAGATTCAATAATTGTAATTACAAATGTAGTATGGAATCTATCAAAAGTAATAAACATACAAGTAATATGTAACTGTCATTTGTTTCATAAAGTGTTCTATTTCATACCTAGGAGGGGATGCCACACATAATACTGTAACACAGTTGCTGATAAATGATCCTTGACTATAAGGATTAAAAACATCCCGTCCTCTTCGGTTGGAGAAGGAACCTTTGATCTAAATAAATAAAACAAATTCATATCTCAAATAGACTCTTCTTGTTACACTTAATTAAAAGTGAAGTCATGATGAGATTCAAATGATTCTCTAATTCAGTTGTGATATCAGTTTAATTAATTTTTCATACAGAATTGTAAGCAAGAAATTCTTCTGTATGAGAAATACTTAAGCGACAGATCTATCATCAGAGAAGTTACTAGTGCACAAATAAACCTCTCTGTTCTCTAAACATAAACACCACACAGAGTGACATAAAATTCAAAGTATAAAAAGAAGTGTGGAGATCTTTACATTAGTAGAAAATAAGTGTTGAAACAGCTGCTTCTGACAACAAACATAGTAAAAAAACTGGAATATTTGAATAATTTTGTAGTATCAATTAGAACAATACGTGTATAACCCATTCTCAACTTTGGCTTTTTCTGAAATTTACACAAGATACAGAAACTACATTGTTAAACTAATTTAGTAAAAAAAGTAACAGAAATATTCACAGGACTGTTTCTTGTCTTGATTTGTATTAGTGGTAAAAGTACTTTTAATTACATTGTAAACGTCACCTATCATATCAATTTAGTAGCATGAGTGATATCAATACCCATAACACTGTATCAGTGATAATGGTACTCATCACTACATTATTTATCTTGCATAGGTGATAAAATTAATCATTATGTTCCTTTAGTTATAACAGTACCCTCAACACTGTTATTTTGCTCATATCAGTGACAATTGTAATCACCACCACTGTGTTTCTTGCCTGGCTTGAGGCAGCCAAGTATTTATTAATTAACATAAATAACATTGGCATTGTCTTAACAATGTGACTATACCATTAATAATGGTACTTACATCTTCATTCGTTGTTTGGTTTGAAGTAGTCAAGTATGTGTGAAATCCTGCTAGACCTAGGATTGACCAAACTGAAAAAAAACATACCACACCTTCCACAACAGTGGGAAAGTTAAAGAAAAAAGTTCAGGCATATTTGTACATATACACACTGCACGAATAATGTTAAAAATAAAAAATTAATTTCTTCAATAAACCAAACATATAAACTATGAAACAAAAAACAGGAAAAGCAGCATTATAAAATGAAATGTCTTGCTAACTGGCTACACTGTTGGTGAATAACAAAAAAATCACACAATTCTTAACAAAAATACGATAATACTAATTGTATCCAATAGCTTATTATAACTTGACAGCCAAAATTAACTATATGAAAAAAGATGATTTAAAGATTTTGTTAATATTTTGTCGTTTCCCCCAAAGTAGAAAAAAAAAAAGTTTTCTTAGACAAATAAACATAAATAATCATTGGCACTGTCATTGAGTATATGATATTTTTGTAGATAAAATATATTTTTTCTTTCAGAAAAAAACAAAAGTTGTTAGAATTTCTGCCAAATTTAATCAACCTCTTGTAACCACACAAAATTTATGATATAAATGCCAAATGAGCAACCAAATTTAACTTAGTTTCTATGCGAGCTTTTGCAACTTCATTATACTCTGTATACAGCTTAATGTAGAAAAAGTTCTATTCCTGTATTACATTCAGCTACAGGACTACTAACATCATTTTATTAATTCTAAAATAAGCAAAGGTACAACACTCTATAATGAGGTACACACACTATAAGGATATCTTGCTGGTGATTCTTTAACAGCTTCAAGAAAGTTTGTTTTCCTGGAAACTATAAAAGAAATAAAGAAACACAAGTGTTATTAAACACAAAATTGAATTTCAATCTAAATGGCCTAGTAGTTGCTGTACTTATTTTTCAAAAAAATGTTTGATGACATGAAAAATTAGCATTTCTTTCATACACATCTTAGGCATATACACTAGTAAACACAGAAATTGTGATAGTTATGATATAGGTTATTTGGTGACTCTTGACAAAAAAAATTTGATAATACATTTCTAAGAAGAAATACAAATGATATTACATATTTTGTATTTTGTGGAAAATACAATAATAAAAAATATTTTATGACAAAAAAATACATATATGTATTATGATTGTTAATATAGTTCCAATTGGAAGCAATATTTAGCACAAATAACAAGCAAATAATGCTTCTTCAAATGAGCATCCTGTGGCACGAACATATAAGTTCGGAAATCATCCACTCAAAATATAAAGCACACAAGTAGTGACTGATTATAAAACTAGTCAATGTAGCTGCTTGTATTTATAATAGTTATGTGTAACCAAATAATCGTTAACTTGAAACTGCACTAACAGAAAAGAACCCGACATACTTGATGTGCCTATTAAACGATTAACTCTCACACTACTGGCTCAGTCCCAGGGATTGACCTCATAATCATTTTGTGCTTGATATAGTTTTTACACTATAACTTTTAACTCTAAGTTTATGGGAGTGTACCAAAATAGCCTTTCACATTACCAACAAAACAACAGGAGTATAAAAAAAAAGCTTTTTTTCCAACTTATTGGTTTGAAATTTCATTTGCATAACCCCTAGAATCTACAAAGTGAATATGAAGGTTCTAGCTAATTTAAGTTAAATGATTATATATATATTTCTTACTTTCTCTATGATATTACTAACTGTAGCTATTATCGTCAACTTGTAATATACCACACGTAGGAAAAATGTACATACCTTTAATATTTAATGAAATAATTTTCAAAAAACAACTTTTTTGTGTCTTTACATTTTTACATATAATTTATTTTAATGTTTTATTATCCTTTCCTGTCCTTTAGCTCTGTTATTTATCGCGACACATGTTAATGGGCATCCCCAGCCAATATTATTGTACAGTAGGCAGAGAAACTCTAGACCTTGGCAGAATGTGGTGGCATTCGCATATTACACTATCCCTTGTGAACCAAAGAGGCATTGCCATATATAAAAAAAAATTACTAAACCTTTCAAATATGCATCTTAAAACATAAATAATACACAATTAAGTAAAATATAGAACCTCAAATCAATACAACTGTCTATCTAACTAGCATATTTCTAGGTAAAGTGGCTGGGACAAAGCAGCAACAATGCTAAGAGTAGTTTGACTAATTCTCTATATAATTCTTCATGCCAAATTTAAAATAACCATTAAGAGAACATACTTCAAAAAGCACTCTTTTCCATTATTTATAAATATTTAGCTCAACTAAGTATAACTGGCTGAGAAATCCGACACAATGTGTACAAAGTAGGCGTGGCATCTGTCAAGAGTTCAGAGAAATTTATTTCTCCTTTTTCTCAACATGCCCCACAGACCTTGAAAGTAGAATGTATAAACAGATCAATTAACCTAGATTCTTACTATACACGGAAGTACAGCAAGAACTATTCACACTTGAAAGATACAAATTTAACATTTTCTAAACTTGTGGAGCCAGAGAGAATAAAACAAAACTTTAACAATTGTTCTTTAAGGTTTCTTCTGAAATAAAATAATTAAAACTTGGATAATATAAAACTTTGAACTACAATGTACATTTTAATGCTGATTTCATTGACAAACATTGATCATAAAATAGCTTAATTGAATTTTAAATTTAACTAAGTAAAATCTTGTGACATGCGATTGTTGACTATTGAACATGCAAAGTAATTTTGATTTTAAGATTAAAAATACTTTTATGCATCAGAAAATTGTCATATTTCAACATGCAAAATCTCTATAACCTCCAGATAATTATCAAACATTTTTAAATAAAACATTATATCTTATCTGTTATTTTCACTATTGTATCTCTGTATGGGTTTGGTCGATTTGACTGACCACGTAACCACAATAAAAATTTAGGAAATAGATATAAATTACACTTTTTCATTCTAGAATGGTTTGGTTTGTTTTGAATTTGTGCAAAGCTACATGAGAGCTATATGAGCTAGCCATCCCTAAATTAGCAGTGAAAGACTAGAGGGAAGGCAGCTAGTCATCACTACCCACTGTCAATTCTTGGGCTACTCTTTTACCAACGAAAAGTGGCATTGACCGTCACATAATAATGCCCACACGACTGAAAGTGTGAGCATGTTTGGTGGGACGGGGGTTTTCAAACCCATGACCTGCAGACTGCGAGTCAAGTGCTCTAACCACCTGGCCATGCCAGACCCCATTCTAGGATGACTAGAACTCATAATATGAAGCCACAAAGGTTCAGTCTAAATAGCTTAAATCTCATAACATTATACATCTATATATATTTATATATATATTTTATTGAACTGTCACTGTGTCTGACTAATATTACAGAAGTTGCAATGTTACCATATCCAATAGTATAAAACTGGTCTTTACAAAGTGATTTGCCTTGGCTTTGTTCTAGCAGACCAGTATTTTGTAAAATACAATCACATTTCGGTTATAATACACTACATGTATATACATTATTACTATTTACAAATAAATTCTTAATTTTCAGTTGTTTTTCTTAAAACATGGAACACTAAATAAAGAAATATAGAAAACAATGATCTCCACTACTTATGATTGTAAAAAAGTTTGTACACACTTGCCATACCTGGCACGCCGTACCTTGCAAGCTAAGCCTTGCCAAATTTTGCACTTGGAAGATGTAAGACAAAAAATTATAAATTACTCTATTAATATCACAGAATTTCACTGTAATTTATCAGGCTTACTAATTAAACTGTAATTGGGCCTAAAAAATATTGTTTTTCAAACAACATTTTCACTTACTCCTTTTTTCCGAGATTGGAGATAAAAGAAATAATTGTGGGAAAATTCCCACCTTCAAGAGGCTGAGAAAACTGGAATTTTATTGCATTTCATGAAAGTTTGTCAGAATAGTTTATTTCATGATGACTCAGATGGTGTACTCTAACTCTGAAAGACAGCAGCACTTAGAAAGCAACAGTGACTTTTGTAGGGTGTGTGGGAGCAAGTTTTTGCTGAAAATTGGCTTCTGGGAATCATTTGTTTCTAATATTTCACTCAAACACACTTTCTTCAAAAACTTGTACTAGAATGTTAGCAGTGCAGCAAGTGTATATATGACTACAACAAGATACCCTTAACTGCGAGAAAAGGGGCAGGGTGCTTGTGTTTTAGCAAAGCTTGTTGCCTAAAAAGTTGCATCTCAGGACCTAAAAATATCTCAACACATTTAAAGAAACTTTCATAAAAGATAATAAGGTAAGATTTTCTTCGAATAGTCAAATCAAGAAAAGAAAAAAAAACAATTTCAAAGAAGCAAGGAAAAAGCAAAATACCTCTTCTAGCTCCACAACAGGGTCAAAATAATAGGAAATTTTGGGTTTCAACAGTAGAACTATCTGCTAAAACATACAAAATGAAATAGCATAATGATATCAAACATCTTATGCATATTCTAGGATTTTTAAGAATGGCAAAACACAGACACAGGTTACCTAAGAAGAAATTTATGGATGAAAAACATAACTGTTTTATTTATTGATTAAAATATTCCATCAGATAGTAAATGAATGATGGTGAGTACGTGAAGTGATAGCTAGCACATAGCAGGAGAAGAAACAAATCCATCATTCACTTGTTTCTTCTCCTGCTATGTGCTAGCTATCACTTCACGTACTCACCATCATTCTGAGTACGTGAAGTGATAGCTAGCACATAGGTCACTTCACGTACTCACCATCATTCACTTGTTTCTTCTCCTGCTATGTGCTAGCTAACACTTCACGTACTCAACATCATTCACTTGTTTCTTCTCCTGCTATGTGCTAGCTATCACTTCACGTACTCAACATCATTCAAGCTAGCACATAGCAGGAGAAGAAACAAGTGAATGATGTTGAGTACGTGAAGTGATAGCTAGCACATAGCAGGAGAAGAAACAAGTGAATGATGTTGAGTACGTGAAGTGATAGCTAGCACATAGCAGGAGAAGAAACAAAGCTATTCAACAAGAAGAAAATCACTGTTGGGGGTTACTAAAGTGATGGTTGTTGGTTATATGTCTGATAATCATAACCCAAAGCTGCTCAACCTTGGAACTGTGCAACTTTTCATTAATGTAACCTACAATCTTTCCAACTGCAGCAAAATCTATTGCTCTTATCACTAAATACAGGTGTGTAAGTGAGACCAATTTGGGTAGAAATGGAAATCATAATAGGTTTTATTTACTATTGGTACTGTATATATATATATATATATTCTTCAATTAGTATGCACAAATTTTATACTGTTATACTGTACGAAATAATTTCATATATAGTTACAAAGAGTAACAATAACCTATGAATTAAAAGAACACACACCACCTTACTTTGTTCAAGAAACCTAACAGAAATTATTTTTAAAAAAAGCAACTAACAGCAGGATATTCTAGACAGACATGCATTTATATTTATCATTGGCTATTTATTATTGGATCTTTCAAATATAAGCCTGCTTGAAATTTCAGAATTATATTTATTTTTAGAAGAACTTTATCACATAAGAAATTTTAAAATTGCACAAAGTTCCTTTAGTTGTTAATACTTTACATAAACAAATAAGTACATAAACTGTATTAGTGTGAATTTAATTCAGTCAAAATAAATTACTTGTTACAATAAATGCTTTCATAAAACATTATTTGAGAGTGATAAGTGTAACTATTAATTATGTTCTAATTTAGAATGGTGAAAATGGTCCTACCTAGGACAAGATGGGCAATGATACAGCCAAATATGAAGACACACAGAAAGGCTAAAGACATAATGAACATGTAGAAGTATTTGTAATTTCTTCGGCCAACACAGTTTCCTACCCATGGGCAATGGTGATCAAATCTGTCTACAATGTTAAAAAATAATCTACAGAATGGATCTTAAAAACTTCTATTAAATAATTAACAAATACATAACTGAAACTTTTCAGTAACATTATGTCAAATCAGAGATTTCCTATTTACAAGGCATTAACATTTATTATTTATGGTTTTATAAAATATTTAAAATATTTGTTCTTGAAAATTCAATGATCAATTAATGTTGATCTAAAAATAAAATTATTCTGCAAAAATATAAACTGTATGAGACAAACTTGAAATGTTTTATAAAATCACAACCAATATTACTTACTTTTTCTTCAACTTATAAATATTGTATTGGTTTCTATAGAAATCAAAATATTTGTCATATTTAAACTGGGTGCAAAAACAACAGTCAATTCTTTCAACTACCATTCAAAAGTAAATACCTTACCTACACAATTATCACATAAACTACAATGGGAAGCCCTTGGAGGACGAAAGATTTTACATGTGAAGCAGTATTTCAGTTTCACAGTTTGTCCTCGAATAGCAATTTCTTTAGTTCTTGGTGGTGGTCTGTATGTTGGAGAACTTGAACCATTTGGCACTTCTGCTGAAAATAGAAAGTGAACACTAAGATTATGTATTCTAAAAAAACACAAAACACCTAACTTCTTTCTAAATATATCAAGAAATCAGATTTCTATTCATCAGACTTCTTTCACATGTCCCCAGTCTATTTTGGTATCTATCTTAACATAGGTCATAAATTTTACTGAATTAATGTTAAAATGTTTCATGTAATATGTCACTTCTCATTAACTAATTTTTGCATAAAATATAAATTAAATAAGAATTGATAATCTGTAATGTCTCAATTTGCAAAGAAAGTCATCACTTAACTCACTTAGATCTGTAAATGTGGAATAACAGTAGTGTTCTTTTTTGGCTAGTCATGACACTGGAAAAGCATCACAGAAAATTATATGCTGTTTTTCATTCTTGTGGGAAGAAAGATATCAATATTCTATATATTTTTTCATATTTGGAGAGACTGAAAACTAATTATTATAAAATACAGATACATGTCAAATAGCAACTTATCTGATCACTAATTAATTCAACAGTGCTGGCCTTAGGTAACTTGGTGTTTTGTATGACTAGAATATTCATGGCTCTTATAAACACTGGACAAGTATTTATGGTGTGAGTTGATTGTAGATGTACAACTTTTACAATTTCATATTTAATGTTTACTGCTAAAGTACCACAAGGTAAAAAAAACAAAAATGATTAACAAAATTCAAACACTTTATTTGTATTCATCCTCATAACACTCCAGTTGTTGGAGAACTCTCTAGCTACCATGACAATGATATGTTTTAAGAAATATTACTATTAGGTTGCCTCATTGGGCCATTGAAAAATATCAAGTAAAAATACCTTATTTTACCTTGTCCACAATTAGTGTACAGTGTAACAAAAACTAACTACTGTTACTTAAATTCTAAATTTTTAGGATTAAAATGAATTTCAAACAGGTATTTACCTCTGAAGTACTAAAAGACTTTTCTTGTTGAGATACTTTCATGCTGCCAACAACCATGTGACTTCAAATTATAAATGTTCTTGACGCATAGCAAAAAATACATCACTTTAACTCTCTTGCCACTGGCAGATCAAAGTGCACATGTCATGACTCTTTAGAGTTACATTCAAAATTTAATGAAGTTCCTTTGTTATCATGGTATACGAATAAATTTGGCATGAAACATAGTTAATAAATGAAATTTTAGTATCATATAAATTTTAAGCTCTTAATTTTATAAGGAAATATTTTAAAAAGACTCTCAATCTCCTTAATATGAGAATTGTGACATTTGATGTCTAGGTCTTCCCTCTTTTCTAATTTATTTACCAAACCTATGCAAAGTATACAATTCAACATAAATTACTCATTATAATATAGTCATTACTCAGGCAAAGCATAATTTTTGTAGCCTTCAATCTTATTTCTTTACGGAACCATAAACTACAAAATCAGACCCACTTGCCAATGCCCATCCATCACATTCTCTCTCAGTAGTCGTCTCTGATGCTAAATACTATATTAGCTATAACCAATAAAAAGCCAAAGTTTTAATCTATCAAATGACATTATATTATGTTGTTTTCTGTACAGAGAAATGTCCGTTTTGCATTTACTTCAAGCTTTATTCTTACGAGAAACACAATTATGTGTTTAGCTGGATTTTTAATGGCTCTTATCGAACAGTTACAAAGCCAGAAAAATTATGATAATTATTGGACATTGTCTGCTTTTTACATGTTATTATTCTGTGTTTTTAGGTACATTACTTAATTAAATAAAAAATCATTCAGTACAGTAGTACTAAATTAGTATAAAAAAGTAGATTTAAGTTTCATCAACATATGACAACAAAAAAAGAAAAAGAACCAGGTAAATACTATTTTTTTGTTTTTCATGTGTACTTTTTATTTACTATTATAAAAGCAACTAAAATGTAAAAATTAGAGAGTTATTAGGTCAGATAATGAAAAATAATAAAAATTATCCACAAGGTATGCGTGCGAGCAGCTTGTGCATTATTTAATTTGATAGTGTAATGTAAACTACATGTTCACAGAGTGACTTACAACTTGTGTGGTAGGATTATTAGTTAGACACCATTCATAGGGCAATAAAACAGTAAAATTTAAGTAGAAACATGTATTCTGTTAGGAGTTTTAACCCTTTACTGCACATGACACATGGTTTTAGTGTCTTACATTCAAAATTTTATTCAACTACTTTTTGTTTATATTATACCAATTAGAATAGCATAAACACTTAGCTAATAATCCATATTTTAATAGTATACAAGTTTTAAGTTCTTAATTCTACAAGGTAATATTTAAAAAAATTCTGAATTTCCACTAGTGTGACCAACGTGACACATTTTATCTTAGCATGTCATCATCCCTATTTTATCCATCACCCCTCAAAAATGTACAAAATTAAACGTAAAATGCTTTCAATAAAATCATTATTGCTCAAACAGAGCATAATTTTTATGGCCTTCAATTTTGTTTTGTTACAGAACTATCGAATAGAAAATCAGACCCCTCCTGCCACATCCTTTCTTTCACAATTCATTGATAGTTCTCTCTTACATTTCATTATATATTA